TAAAGTAATTAAGCATTAAGCAAATGCAGCAGACTAATATAATAAGCTAAGCAATTCTGAGCACGTAACTCTCTAATGGTCATACCTCATCAAGAATGCCTCGCCTTACATGTGCGAGCTCAACTGGATTGAGTTGGCATGGTCTCGAGTCAAATACTTTATTCGAAACTATAATCCAAAGAGGGAATTTACCATAATATTTTTAAAAGATATGACCGAAAAAGGCATGGCTTCAATTGGACCCTCCGAATGGAAAGAGTTTTGCAAGTCAACCACATGACTTTGAAGATCGGTTTTGGCAAAAAGATAAATACATGGAAGAAGTGCAGTCATTAATAATTAACGTTGATGGAAGTGACCTCGAAAGCGACAGTAATGAAAATAATAGTGTCACGGCTTTGTGTTGCCTGACAGAAATCTTGGGTTCGTTTATTCCAAAAATCAAAGTCCAATTAATACAGCAATAATTTATTCCACTTAACAATACACTCTGACACTAAGTAATTTAATAACTAACTCAACAATTAAACTCTTTACAACAATAATCACTATTTAAATCGTATCACAGTCGAACTGAAACTTAAACTACAAAGCAAAAGCGGTTTTTATATATCCCTAAATCTATTCCTGTAAAATCTACACACGTTAATCTTATTTTCCCGATTAAAGTAGAACAATTCGCTAGATTCTGGGATATTCGAAGGCAGATCCATGGATTCTTGACAGCCTGGCGGCAGCGTTTAGCGTTATCGTAACAATAGTGAAGACAATATTGATTCGAACATTGAAAATATTGACTAGATCTATTATTCCACATATTCCTCTTAAGGCCGGTATTATAATGTCCGGTAGACCGAAGGTTGAGTTTCAACCTAGGTTCGGCAACCGATCGGCGCGTTCAAACTTGAAGTTGAAACTCAACCTTTGGTCAACCAGAGATTATAATACCAGCCTTGAGGAATATGTGGAATAATGGATCTAGTCAATATTTTCAATGTCCGAATCAATATTGTCTTTACTATTATTTTCACTACTGTCGCTTTCGAGGTCACTTCCATCAACGTTAATTATTCACTTATTAGGGTACCTTTTTGAAATTACTATATGTTTTTATTCACTTTCTCTTTTTTTTTGTGTATTTATGCCTGACTATGAGGCACTTTCGCTATTCTTGTTTTTGTTATTCAGAATTATATTGTATTGTTGTATATTATTCTTACATCTAAGCATGTATAGTGGATTTATTATTGAGATTTTACAGTTGTCACACCTAGGATTCTATTTTTTTGTTTAATAAATAAACATCATAATTTAATTGAAGGCTTTATACGCTCCATTAGTGATGACATCATGTGTTGGGGTACGTCACTACCTGAATCCAAACAAATACCATTTCCTTTGTGTTTCTTATGAGACATAAAACAAATTTGTGTTCTCAGAAGTACATATGTTTAACTTTTTAGCATGTAAGCATTTCACATGTGTAAAATAATTTTTAGGTAACCCAACAAGTGACGTCATGATAATGACGCATATTCCACGTGTGGCTGAATTCGGCTGGTGTAGGCACAGTGGTGGAATGGTAGAAAAAGCAATATGTTAAATTAAACAGGGTTTAGCAAGCTGTGGTTTGGCATTATTTCTTCCCCCGTCCGTCACTGCCAAGTTACCACTTACCAGACTATACAACCTTTGCGAATTAAAACGTCCAAGTTATGGGCTAGTCCAAACACCTGATTGCATGATTCCGAGTTTCTGAAATATTACTTTTATTAATAACTAGCTAATTAACTGCTGAGTTGCTAGCGTGAAAATACATTTCGAAATAATGCTTTTTTCTCCAAACGTCAGAAAACCTGACATTTATCTACTAATTTCATGATGTTAAAGTTTAACTTTTATGTCAGTTGACGATCACCATAGACAACGGAAGTAAAAGACTTTTACCTCCGCTCGTGAGCGGAAGTAAAGGCCCATTTATAAACTTGACGTTGCAATTCCGTTACCGTTTGCGCCTGCCGTTGTGAACATAAAAATATAGGATTCCATAAGATCGTTTATATTCGCCGTCGGCCTCACCGTCCGCCGTTAGCTCTGCCGTTGCATTCCGTCAGACATAAACCAATTTTATCTTTTCCGTTGTCGACGTCTGTAGCAAGTCATGCTACAGTTTGAGAGAGCCAATCAAAACGGATTTTCACCAGTCATGTGATGTTTACTTCAAATGTCATCGAGCTGAGGTGGAAGAGGGGAGAGATTATTTTGATTTTTCGAATTTTAAATTTTGTTTGGGTTCATGTTATTTTATCATCAATAATTAAACAATGGTAAATCACCACCAAATCGTCCAAATCACTCATAAAATGACAAAATGAGAGCACACGCACAAAAGAGGTTATGTTTATTATTTACTTTTTGAGAACGTCAAACGGCAAGTTTATAAATTGTCCAATTTTTGTGGCTGGAACGGCGGGGCTAACGGCGAGCCCGTCTGTAGGCGCAAACGGTAACGGAATCGTAACGTCAGGTTTATAAATGGGCCTTAAAAGTCTTTTACCTCCGCTCGTGAATATTTGCCATAACAACGCAAAGATTGACATTTTGTCACCTAGTTGGCGGATTGTTCGGTAACATCATTAATATATGAGGAAATTTCGATTTTTTCCATTATTCAGACAGGTTTGAAGAAAAAATATCGTGTTCTATTCGGAGTAAAAGCTACTTTTGTGACTCGTCTGTATTGCCGGCCTGACTGCGTTCGGCAGGTAAACTTACAGACTCCTAATAAAACAATATACCTACTATTTTTTTAAATTTTTGTTGATTTTATAAAAGTTTTTTTTTAATCCGATTTAAGGGGAGGGGGGAGTGATAAAAAAATTATAAAACTAATACCAAACACTTTTTTAGATTCCGTGCTTTATTTTCTTCAGTTTGATACCACACAACCTATATTTTCGGAGGAACAATTTTTTCATGAAGATGGGATAGTGGGGGGTGATAAGGGAGATAACAGAAAAACAAATTCGAAAAACTTTTTTATGTACGACCTACACTGTAAGAGCTTATAACGTAACTCATTTTAGCCTGTTTGAGTTACGTGATAACTTGCATTATCGTGCTTAGTGATGTAATGAACTCTCATTACATCACTCACTGATGTAATGAGAGCTCATTACGTAACTAATTTTTATTGAAAAACAGCACTTTTTAAAATTCATTTATCAAAAATTATAAATATAAACTTCTGTGAAAAGTTAAAACCATTTCGAAAATATGAAAAAAATCTGGGTCGTACATAAAATGTTGTATATCACACGTACGGTAACGCTCATTACACCACTCGTGTGATTACCACTACTCGGTCTACGACCTCGTCTTGGCAATATTCCCCACTCGTTACTGTAATGAAGCTCATACCGTACTAGTAATATAATTAACTATTAGATTCCGCGCTTCATTTCCTTCAATTTGATATCCCACAACCCATACTTTTGGAGCTCAATTTTTTTATGATGATGGGGGCTATGTCTCCCATAGGGGGTAATAGGGGAGTTATAGAAAAACGCCGAAACACGGTCTCTTTATTTTATTACTAGAGTCTACATATCAATTTTTGAATATCTGAGACTTGTGTGACCCCCTTTCGAAATCAAATTGCCCCTATTTCTCCGCCCCCAGTTAAAATTTCAAAAAACTCTGAAATACGTGTTCACTTATTTTGTTGGTAGAATTTATATGCCAATTTTCAGATCTTTGCGGCTTCTCGTTCTCGAGATACAGAAATCCTCTTTATTATTTCAACCCCTATTTTAACTTTCTTGAGGGGAAAATTTTCAATAATCCTTCCTTAGCGAGAGCCTACGTCATAAACCCAATACGTCCTGAAAGTTTCATAACTGTAGGTCAAGTAGTTTGGTCTGTGCGTTTATATACAGGGTGTCCCACGACGTTTTTCCCAGGTAATAACTTCGGAACGCGTCAGGCAATATAATTGAAATTTTGAGGATCTGGGTAACTTTTTGTGCGGCTTCTACCATTGTCATTCAATTTCGCTTCAGTTTCGGTCAAGTGACGTCAACTTTCGAATCTCAAATGTAACTCATGGTATATTATGGCATTTTTCGTTAGGAAATTAAATTACAAAATCGGCAATGCCATATTGGTTAAGACTTTGTTAAAGAAAATGATAAAAAATTATACAGTGGAACATACGATGATGCGTTCCGAAGTTAACATTTGGGAAAAATTTCGTGGGATACCCTGTATATTTGATGACTACCGTTCTTTTATTAGTACAGATAATATAGGTAATCAAAACAGTATCTTTTACCCAGCTTCACAACTGCAATGAGATTCTATTAACTCTAACAACTCGTCGACTTCTTGGAAAGTTATAAAAAATTTTCTATTGACTTCGATACCTAGCAGCACGCTTCCACATTTTTGCCGGCCGTGAATACTTTGTGGATATAACGTTCGTTAAAAAACTTACATCCTCTAGTTACTTGCCTTTTAGTTCATCCTTTAGTGCTGAAAAATTTGCTAGCACTTAAAAAAAAAAATAAGTATTTAATAAGTGTTGTTTGGTTAAATTTTTTGAATTTTATTATTTTTTTTTTTTTTAGGGGGGGGGGGGGGTTGAACCCCCAAACTCCCCGCCTAGATACGGGCCTGGCAGAAATCTTAATAAACTATCCTTGTTGAGAAAGTTCCATCGGAAAACAGAAGTGTTAAGTTAGTGTTGTTCTTGAGCTCCAAAGTGAGCCCTTCTCAAGTGGAATAAATATATTTGTTTCTCAGCTATTTATTAGCCAAAAGAACTAAATCAGAACACAGCTTGACTATTATCTGACCATAGTATCTGACAAATTTTATTATTACTTTTCTAATTATCACTGGTTGCATTGTTGCATACCTGACAAAAAGTACAAACCTTCGTGAAACAAACAGTAGGTAAATTTAGCTAGAAAAACTTGATTTTGGATGAAAAATTTTAGCTCACCAATTGCACGGACACGGCGAACAGTACTGGGACGGTATAGGTGGTGCCGGTAGCCCCAAACCCACTTTCTTGTACCTCAAAGGAACCGGCGGTTCTCAGTTTACAGGCTTACACATCAAGAATTGCCCGGAAAGGTGTGTAGCTATCGATGGTTCCAACGACATTACGGTTTCTGGATTTTTGGTTGATAACCGCGAAGGAGCACCTGTAAGTAAATTTTCATCATTACTTGATTCACATCTGATTATAAACGAATCCAGGGTAAGGCACCCAAAGGCAAAGAAGGTCACAACACGGACGGTTTCGACGTGGCCAAGACCCAGTACCTCACTCTGAAAAACAACGTCGTCTACAACCAAGACGATTGCGTCGCCATCAACAATGGCGCCCACATGACCATCGACAACCTCAACTGCGACGGCAGTCACGGCTTCGATATCGCCACCGGTATGTCGACCACCGACCAATCCCAGAACATGGTCAACAACATCACGTTCAAAAACTCGAAATTGTTCAACGGCATGTACGGTTTGCACATTCTGACTTGCAACGACGGCGGCAGAGGATACGTTAAGAATATCAACTATCAAAATATCGTTTTCAATGGTAAACTAATTATGATTTAATTAGAAATATTTTACATATGATTATTATCAATTCAGGTCCATCCGATTATGGTATAATGGTCCAACAAGATTTCTCCAACAAGGCGCAACATTCCACCAATCAACCAACTGGTAACGTACCAATTTCCAACGTCCAGTACAACGGGGTTACCGGTACCATGAATGGAAAGTTCTCGTCGGCTTTGACCATCAGATGTGCTTCGGGTGCCTGTTCTAATATTGGCCTTAATGGTGTCAAGATTACAGGAGCTAGAGCTCCTAATAAATGTACTGGATACAAAGTCAATGGTTGGTGTTAATTTGATCAAATGTAATTTAATTTAAATAAATAAATATTACCATGTTTATACTTCCCGTTAAACCGTCTTAACAGAAAACGTTTTACTATAAAACGCTTGTATAAACACCCCATAACCCGCTTTATCTCGTTTAACCGTTTTGATTCAAAACGTTTTGAAAACGTGTTTTAACTGATTTAAAAACGGTTTGAATACTGCGTAAACAACTCAAACCGTTTTAAGGGAGTGCCAGATATATGGTTCCAAATCAGAGATTTAGATTTTGAAAATCTATTTCATTCCAAATCTAAAGTAACATAAGGAATACTGAGCAAGTCAGTGGCGTAGCTTGGGCTAATGTCGCCCGGGGCGGAATCAAAATAGGGTAGGTACTTGATGCTTGCATGGAAAATTCAATTGATTATTGTTTATTGCAAACTGTAGGAAATCGAAAAAAAATCGTTACTTTTTTTTAATTTCGCTGAAATATGATTATTCCGGAAGTTATACAAATATTAGGTTTTGCATATATAGATATAATGAGCATGGGCAACGTCACTAATTTATATGATAAGTGACGTCATAGGCATATTCCATAGCGTTGTATCTCCGTCAATTTTTGACTTAGAAGAAAAAGAAAAAACACGTGTTGACTTATTTTTCATGGACTATCAAAATCAGCAATAAAAAAATTTGATGCAAGAAGCCTATTTGCCGCCCCGTTGACGTCATAAAAAAAAATACGGACTGATGGGTTCGGTCAAAGCCCTCTACACTAATAAGCCGTGAAGTAAGAAATCTGGCAACATGTGTGGGTCATATGTTTTCGTTTGAGGTTAGGTTTTAAATGTGTTGATTATTTTTATTTTATTTATTTATTATTATTATATCGCCTTTGAGTTATCTGAAATATCTAGTTCAAGTTCAAAAGTTCAATAAGTGAGAAATTCATTATTCTTATATTAAGGATTGCAAAGTGAATGCAATTTTTTTATTTATTATAGATGCCCCCCGATTATGCTGTGTTCCAAGCTGCAAGTCAAACTACCGAAGTAGCTTGAGAAAAGAGGAATTACAAACCACATTCTCATTTCTCTCTGAACGTACGTGAACTTCGTCAATTATGGTTACGAGCCATCCATAGAGAAAAAAACTTCGAAATCACAAAGAATTCAGTTGTGTGTTTTAAACATTTTCATAGTACAGAAATACTAAGAGTGGAGCATTACAAAAACAAAGAAGGAATTTGGTGCGACCATCCCTTGATGCGGCCTAAACTAATGAAGGGAGCAATTCCTCATATGTTACAAAAACAATCCTTACAAAACAATATAAAGTGCGACAAGTGAGTGAACCTTGGTAACGTATGAAGTAGCAGAGGGGAAGACGAAAACCTATACTATACAACGCGACGGGTCCGCGACGTGGTGCATTGCGAAAATTGCGGTTACCCTAACGCGACGATCCGCGTATATGTATATTTCATCTCGCGCCAATCAGGAGCGTTTTGGCCGCATTCCTTCCACACAGGTTCACTCACTTGTCGCACTTTATACTGTCACCGTTTTGACTGCGTTAATCCGGAATATAACATAAAACATACAGGAACTAAAAGGCAAAACTACAAACAGTAAAATGAACACAAAAATCGACAAATTCTAACATTTCAAAACATTTAGCCTAAGTAAGATATCGAGTCCCGGAAAATTGTTCGAAAATAACTCTTCGAACGGAATATTCTTCGAAAGGAAAATTGTTCGAACGGAAAATTCTAACATTTCAAAACATTTAGCCTAAGTAAGATATCGAGTCCCGGAAAATTGTTCGAAAGGAAAATTGTTCACAATCAGACAGCGGGTTTCTCCATCCGGCTTTTTCCAGGCTGCGATATGACTGCAGACATTCTTTCATATCCGGGTGTGATTGTAAGTATATGCCTTTCCTTACAAACTGGATTTCTGTCTCTAGTTCGATTGACGTCATGCCCACGCCACCTTTCTTGTTCGGCATGTACACTCGGGCGTTGGATACGGTTTTGCCCTTGATTTTATTTTCGACTAGGATTTTCCTTATCTGAGTGTCCATGTCTCTGCAATTTTTCAGTGTCGTGGCCCTTTTTTCTTCCAGATACAGGTTGCCCATTACATAATTGACCGCTGGAGCAATGGTGGAATTAAACAGAGAGGCCTTTTGAATTGTTGTTTAGCTAGATTGGAATACAGCCGTAGTCTTTTCCAGGATTTTGTCTCTTATGCTTTCGGCGTTTCTGGCAGTGTCTCTCTCCAGTTTTTCTAGACCCAGATACTGGTAACCGTCTCTGATGACCGGCAAAAACGGTGCGCCTCTTCTTCGTCCATTCTGGAGTATGCACCACACTTGGCTTCGTTGAGTTGCAGCCCCAGTTCTTCGGCCGCATTCCTGAGCTCTCTCGTTATAACTTTGAGGCCCTGCTTGGAACGGGAGTGGACTTAATGTCATCTATAAAGGCCAGGATGTGGTGATTTCCTGTGGTTGCTTTGTTGACGGTAGGGCTGGTTTTGACGTGCCCTATTACACTGGCTGTGAGCAACTTAAAAAGGAGGGGGCTGTTGGAATCTCCCTGGTAGACACCCCTCTTCACATAAATGGGCCCTGTTTTTTCCTTTTCCTTATTAACTTGGACGGACCATAGATTCATGGAGCCTCTGAGTGCTTTTTTTAGCTTAATGTGAAGAGGGAGGTCTCCTATTAGTCTTTAGTATATTTCTTTATTGACAATACTGTTTCATACATATGTTACAAAAACAATCCTTACAAAACAATATATACTGTCACCGTTTTGACGGCGTTAATCCGGAATATAACATAAAACATACAGGAACTAAAAGGCAAAACTACAAACATTCAAATGAACACAAAAATCGACAAGTTCTAACATTTCAAAACACTTAGCCTAAGTAAGATATCACAGTTTAAATAATTAAATAGGTAAATTATCTGAACCAGCAGCATATCCAGTAACCAGTCTTTTTTCTCTTTTTCGTCCATTTATTTTCGATCGAAGGCCCGCTTATCTTGATGTTTACGTTCCGATACTCCGCATTCCTAACATTCTTCAATTTTGACATTTTTTTGTTGTTCGCTGCTGTCGATCGTATTGGAATTTTGCGTTGTATGAGGTTATGGTCTTCGGAAATAAAGGGGCCTTTTTTCCGTTTTAGGTACTCACGATTGATGGTAAGTTCGTCGGTTATCTACTGGCTCATACCTCACTAGGCCTTTCTGTCCTGTTGTACTATTGTGCCTCGATCCCGGTCCACTCACGCCACTTTAACCCCTGCACGCTCCACCACTTCGGATTAGATACACTACCCCTTGGTCTAAACTTACGTAACAAGGTCCGTGGGGTAGTTCTGACATACCAATTCACTCGCAAAAACGCATAAAATGACGAATTTATCCGGCACCCACGAGAATATACGTCTGCTCTCTAGGAGCGTCTTTAGTATATATTCTTTGACAATGTATACATAGAATTTGCCTTACATTCTAATAGATAATATATATATATATATATATCTTTTAACACTATTTTGTTTCGTATGAATTATCACAGACAAAAGTACCTAATCTACTTTAAAATTTAATATTTATCATTGACAACAATCACAGAAAAGTTATCACATACTGGTTAGATTTGTTATACATATAGGGGAAAAAAGAGAAAAATAGAGAAATATCACAGTTGTTGTTCATTCAGTCTTTTGAGAAGCATGTTGGATGTGGACACCGCAACGCTATAACTCGCCCTGTTTTTTAGGATTTTCAAGTCTCTGCTATTTACAAGAAGGCTTTCCTGCAACATTTGGCAAAAGCTTTTGTGTTCTTCGGAGGCGATCAACTGCCCATAGCACCGAACGAGAAAGACAGCCAGTCTCACAGCACATCTGTAGACAGTCTCTAATTCAGACACAAGATTGGTGTCTCTTGTGAGGCTGGGTAGATCGATGTCTGCGATGTGCTTTGTCGAGTTGATCTCGTATCTGGCCCTCTTCAACCTTTCCTGATTGCGCCAGTTTTGTATGTGTGAGACCGCCACCTCGATCACAAAAACTTCGTTGGGGTTTGTTAGTTTGATAACGATGTCTGGTTTGTTGTGGTATAGCGTTTTTTCAGTGAGCATCTTCTGGCCTGCTATGATGGTGACATTACGAATATCAGCCTGGAAATCAATATAACAGTTAGCCTTGCCGAATTGGAAGTTTCTTACCTCATTTCTAGGCACACGTAAGCTCTTGAAGAGGGTTTTGATGGTCCAGTGTACCACGTAATCGTGGCGAGTGATGTAGGCGTTGGTTGGACACGCCGCCGCTACATGGTATGCCGTTTCTGGTCGGTCGCATCCCTTTCTGCAGTTCCTGCGATGTGGGTACGACGCGAGTCCATGGAGTTGTTCTTTGCCTGCAGACAAAAGAATTCCTCTCCTCCAGCTGTCCAGGTTTGATAAGTATAGGCTGGACAGGAAATCTTTTCTTCTTCTTGGGCTACTACTTTTCCATAATGCATGTTTTTGGACCAATCTTCTTGAAGTTTGTGCAGGTACAATCTGTTGATTTTTGAGACTGTTTTCCTGCAGCATTTTTTGATGTCATTCTCATCCTCAAAGGTCACCTGATAATTTTCAAGCATATACTCCATGTCGGCAATTGGGTTTCTCCACCCAGCGTTTTTTAGTGCTTGGTACCTGATGCGGCACTGTTCCATATCAGGATGCTTTTGAAGGTAAATCCCTTTTTTCACCAAATTGGTTTCAGTCTCATGCCCTATTGATCTGATTCCGAGGCCCCCTTTTTTGACAGGCATATATATACTCCAGCATTGGACGATGTCTTTATTTTTATTTATTTAGTACATATTTCTTTTATTTACAGTACTGTTTCAATGTTTCATACATAAACAATTCTTACAAAATTGAACTTCGTTGACCAGTCAGAAACAACTACTCCGAGGGCAAATACCCCTACCGGCGTTGAACTACACTGATTGGTCTGAGCTTTCGTTGGCAATAGTAATTGTTAGAAAGATTTTTACAGGTAATGACCAACGTGAATACAGGGACACTTCGGTTCCTGTTTGGGATCGGCCCACT